TGTTAAACCAAATCACATGCCTCTGCTAGTTGTCTTAACCTCATCAAAAATTCCAATACGGATTCCCCTGGTTCTCAAACTGCCAAATAAAACCAGTAGCGTCTCAGAATTAGAGAATGCTTGGAGTTGTAATACTCCTTAACTAAATCCATCATTGCTTGAAAGATTTTAGTATCTGGTGCTTAGGGAAAATTAAGCTCCTAATAACCTAAAATGCTGTGTGTCTGCAAACAGTCAAAAGAATTATTCGTTGCTTTTCATCTGCCCAATTGTCATTTGCCTGGAAAAAAATAGCACATTCTTTCCACATACTGGGCTCAGTCTTCAACAGCAGGATTGAATGAGTCAAGCTTCCCAAATAATGGCATGATGCCAGAAATGCTTATCCAACTCAAAGATGACTGTTGCGAATGAATTTTCGCCAGGAGCATACTGTTTTCTCTTGTTGCCACTGAAATAACTCCACAGAGGCCATTATCACATCACCAAGTCACCCATTATTTACATGTGCACAATATATGGACTCTTAACCAGCCAGCTCAGAGCCAGTCCCTAGAATGAGGAGAATCCCTGAGACTCCTGTTTCTATCTGTCAGCCAGGACTCCCTGATTGGCCCAGGTTAACAGCCCAAATCAGGGAACTCATACTCAATGAAATCCACCTAGCCAACCTCAATCCAATCACTGTGCCGCCAGAGTGAAAATTTCAGGTTATGATAGTTGTCGAGTGCAATAGATGGTGGATCCTGATTATTAGTGCAATAGAAGCTACATATCCAGTGCAATTAGACCCTAATTATTAATGTAATAAAACATTGAATATTAATAAAATAAGATTTGATTGATGCAATAGGCACTACTGTTAATATAGTATCCTGATATTTAACGTAATATTATCCTGAATTTTGCATTAATAAGATATTTAGTATGCATATAAGAGAAATTTGATGATGAATGAAATAGGATGCAAAACATTATGATGCATTATGATTCTGATTATTGAAAAAGTAGATTTGCTACAAAAAACATATCTTTCTTACGGAATTTTTTGCAGCAGCAATTGAGTCACAAAAAGTAGTCCATTAGAACACACCCACCACTAAAAAAAACTAAGTGACCGCTTCACAGAACATCTACATTCTGCTTGTAAAAATGACCCTGAACTACCCGTTGCATGCCACTTTAATACACCACCCTGTTCCCTGACCAACATGTCTGTCTCTGGCTTGCTGCTGTGTTCTAGTGAAGGTCTATGCAAGCTAGAAGAACAACAACTCATTTTCCGCTTGGGGACACTGCAGCTCTCCGGACTCAATATCAACTTCAATAATTTTAGGGCCTAAACCCTCCCATGTCCCAGCCCCCCACCCCACACACCAGGCCTTGTTACCACATAGCCTGCCATTACACACTACCTGTTATTAGTCACTAATAGTCCCCATTAACAACTATTCACCCTCCCAATCTGATCATTATCAACTTTGACTGTTCAACTGCTCTTCTCTCTCTTTAGGCTCTATCCTATCGTTTACTCCCTACTCCATCCCCCTTTCCTTTTTTCTGTATAAACTGATGTTTTCCCAGCCACCATCAGTTCTGAGGAAGGGTCACCGGACCCGAAACGTTAAGTCTGTTTTTTCCTTCACAGGTGCTGCCAGACCTGATGAGCTTTGCCAGCAACTTTGTTTTTGTTCCTGATTTACAGCATCTGCAGTTCTTTCAGTTTTTAATTAAAAAAAATTACATGTGAATTTCAAGGGACCTTGCTGCTGTAAAAGATCAGTCAAAGCTCCATGGCGGTCATTGCTGCCTCATAGCTTGCCACCCCAAAATCTCATCTCTGGCTCAGAACTCACAATTTGAGAAACCCTAATTTGCCTATTTATTAAATTTAAGTTGGATTTTGAAAGAAAATAAAGCCACTTAAAGGGAAGCACATCAGGAAAGGATTGCCTAGAATTAAGGAGGAGTTTACTTCAAGAAGCATCTACCTTCTCACCATCTACTCTTGGGAGAAGAAAATGCTAGTTTTGGGGGAGGTAAAGAATTAAACATGATGTGAGTATCAGAACAGCAAATGGGAGCTGAAGATAGAGCTATTGAACGTGTGTGTTATTGAATATGTGTCTGTAATTGCAGTGAAGGGAAAGTTAGAAAGAAGCAGTGGAAATGTGATAGAGCTAGGGGTAAAACATAGGTGACCAGGTGTGGGATGAGAGGGAGCCATGCGGCCATTCTTTGTTCAATTAACCATATCAAATGAAGCTTACAATGTTGATAGCTCCTCTCTTTGCTACATTGTGTCATCCTTCAACTAAATGAAAAAGAAGGGATGAAGGAAGAGAACAGAAGTCAAATGATTAGAATGACAGAGAATAAAGCAAAAACAGAGAATGATTACACAAATCCTGTTAAACCTCACTTGGAGCACTGTGAGCAGCTCTGGGCACCACACCTTAGGAAGGATATATTGGGCTTAGAGGATGTACAATGAAAGTTTACTTGGACTTCAGGTGCCAAGCTATGAGGAGAGATTATATAAATTTAGCCTATTTTCTCCAGAATTTGGAAAATTAAGGAGAGATCTGATTAAAGTCTTCAAGATAGGAAAATACAGGATAGATAAAGATAAATCATTTCCACTGGTTGGAGGTTCTAGAACAAGGAGCGTAGTCTGGAATTTAGGGCCAGACCCAATCAGGAAAGATGTTAGGAAGCACTTATACACACAAAGGATGGTACATGTCTGGAACAATCTTCCACAAACAGCAGTGAATGCTGGATCAGTTGTTAACTTTAAATCTGAGATAGATAAATTTTTGTAAAGCAAAGATATGGACCCAAGGCAGGTATGTGGAATTAGGCCACAGATCAGCTATGATCTCATTGAATGGTGAAAGAGATATGAATGGCCTAGTCCTGTTCTTGTGTCCTATGTAATTCTATGACTATTGTCAGCAGTGACAGTGTAGAGCAGTTAATGAGGTATTAAAAATCTTGCTTACAGCAAGATTCCAAATGAAATCTTTGTGCTTTTCTCCATCATACCCAGCTGTATCATCAAGGAAGGTAATGTTGTGTAATTTTGTTCCATGATGGGCAGTATAGAACAAAAGATAACATCCTTAGAATAAGGGTTTTACGGCTGAAATGAGAAATTTCTTTATTCAAAATTAGTGAACTTTTTGATTTCTTCTCCACAGAGAGCTGTGGAAACTCAGTCTTTGAATACTTTACAAGTCAGATAATGACAGATTGTTGAATACTAAGTAGAGTTTCCAGTAGAGGATATGGAGATAGTGTGGAAAGATGCAGCCTAGGTAGATCAGCCATGATCTTATTGAATGATGGAGCATGTTTAGGAGTCAAACAGGCAAATTCTTCTATTTCTTATGTTCTTATGTACTGAGATATCAACATATTTTTTAATGTCTCTACTATACTAGAAGTATCTGAAAAGTCAAGATGAATGTGTATCATGGACTTCATGAAAATTAGCACATTGCAGGATGTGACTTTAACACTGTTGGTATTATTTGGGCTTGTAAATTTGCCACTGTTTTCCTGAGTGACTCATTTGGTTATGACAGTGAGACATTCGCACTAAGAAAATTCAGTTCTTGGTTTGCCTGTGTTTAGTTAATTTCAACCAGTCTGCAGTTGGATTACTATAGGTAGCTTTAGGATCCTTACTTTGAGAACTGAAAAGCCAACATCGATCCTACATCTGATTACTACCCAGTAAAGATGAAAGATGTCAGCAGGTCTGGCAGCATCAGTGAAGAAAAAATCAGAGTTAACACTTCGAGGCTGGTGACCCTTCCTCAGACATGTTCTGAGGAAGGGTCACCAGACCTGAAACGTTAACTCTGATTTTTTTCTTCGCAGATACTACCAGACCAACTGAGCTTTTCCAGCAACTTCTGTTTTTGTTCCTGATTTACAGCATCCACAGTTCTTTCGATTTTTATAAAGGTGGAAGATGTGTAAGGCGAAAATTGGTGTCTCTTGAAACTCAGTCTTCCAACTCACTTACCCCTTACTTGAGGAAGGATGGAATTGCATTGGAGGCAGTTCAGAGAAGCTTCACCAGAATAATTCTAGAGATGAAAGGTTTGTGTTATGAAGAATGATTGAACAATTTAGGCCTATACTTGCTAGGGTCCAGAAGTCTGAAAGATGATTTAATTAAGTTATGTAAGACATTAAAGGAGGTTGGCAAAGTAGACATAGACATAATTAATCCTTGTGGGCAATCTAGAATGAGAGGCCATAGTTTCAGGCTAAGGGGTGGCAGATTTAATACAGAGATGAGGAGGAATTACTTCTCTTAAAGGATGGTGCATTTATGGAGAGTGTGTGGGATGCCAGAACATTGAATAAATTTAAGAAGGAGATAGATTTTTAATTAGTAGCAGGTTAAAGGATTATGGGGAATGAGCAGGAAAGTGGAGTTGAGGTCAAGATGAGATCAGCCATAATTGTATTTAATGGAAAAGCAAATTCAAGGGACCGAATTGCCTAGTTCCTATGTTCTTATATGGAAATTGGCTTTCTTGGCAGAGCATGACCTGTCCTTGTGACCATATACCAACATGATAGTGATACCAGGAAAAGACAGTAAAGCACAAGCGGACAAAACACTAATATCGCACTCAATATGAATACCATTTTACCAAAACGTCATCCATGATTTCACATTGACAGGAAACTGGAAAATTTAGCTCCACGTTTTCACCAGATTTATCTCTGTGGGTTGCCAAAAGAAAAATCTAGCTTAATAAACATTACCAGATGCATTGCATTTGGAATGATCCTAATTGGTTGTGCTCGCCTTGTGGAGACGAAGGTAATTGTTTATTATTAAAACCAAACTTCCTCTCGAACATGCTTGTTCACTGATTTAGTCAGTGTTTAGTATGTGACCTCCCACGTAATTCTACACTTTTTGTGATAAGCTTGCAGGCTTCCTGCCTCAACCTCCTCTGCTTCACTGAAAGCAGGAAACTACAGTGACGCTGTGCTTCTACTAAGGATTGTGCTGCTCACCTGTCAGGATCCACATTTCAAACTGGTCTGCTGGAAGTAACTCTGAATGGCAGAATTTGGTAGGTACTCCACGATGGAGCCTTTTCTTCTCTTTTATTTTTGTTTAAAGTTAACATTTGCATTATTTTCATAGCATGATAGCTGTTTCAGCAGAATAGCAAACACCCAGTACTAAAATCAGATTGTGCAGTGCCATACTGATTCAGAGGCAGTTAATTCTATAGACACAATGAGATGTTCAGGGTATGTAAATGTGCAGGGTGCTAACAAGAGAATGGCTTCTCTGTGTATTGTTTTTGAAAAGCAGTAATATAATGAGCATTGTACAATTATTACTGCATGTCAGAGGATACAATCAGATTTTCTTATCAATTTCCTAAACGTGCAGCTAATTATCTGGTAGACCATGATTAATATATGGATGTACATGAAATCCTTTGTGCAGTTGCTAATCAAATAAGAGTAATTACATAACATTGTGACATAGATGCAGACTCCACAGAGTGAGGGGCTAATGTCAAGTGGTGACATTTAGGAAGGCTACAAGGTCAATGTGTTGTATTAGAAGTGACTTTTATTCATTTCAAAGGGAAATGGTGGTGAGGGAGAGCAAATGTTCCTATTTTAATAATTCCATAATAGATTCAATGGTTCATAATCGCAGTACTTTATGAATTATGAAACCATGCAGCACAGGAGGAAGCTATTCAGCCCTCAATTCAGTGCCAGCTCTTTAAAAGGACAATCCAATTAATCCCAGTCCCCTCATCTTTCTGATCAAAATTACCCTTTCCAATTTATTTATCCAATTCCCTTTTGAAAGTTGCTACTGATTCTACCTCCGTTGTCCTTTCCAGCAGTGCAGTCTAGATCATAACAACTCACTGTGTAAAAAAGAATTCTATTCCTCTCCCAGCTAGATTTTTTCTAATTAATTTATGTCTTTTTGTTATCAACCTATCTGCCAGTGGAAACATTTTCCTCTATCTACTCCATAAAAAGTCCCTCATAATTTAGAATACATCTATCTCCCCTACTTTTTCCACTTCAAGGAGAACAACCCCACTCTGGACTTAAGACCTGTGTTTAAATATAAGTTCAGTGGAAAATATTTCTCCCTAGCATTATCTAGATGGAATGTACAGAGGAAAACCAAGCCCCAAGATTGTGTGATCACAGTGAAGTCAGTCTGATTGTTAATCCATTCTGGATGTAAATCAGATTAACGCTTCTACAGGTCCTTCTTTTCTTCTTCTCGTGTTCTCTGTTTGAGGGCAGATCTGGCCCTTGGTGCCCCAATCTCTTCAGGTCCTCTCTCATCTAAACTTCTTTGATGCATTCTACCAAAGGATGTTCAAAATGGTAAAGAGCAAGGTTATCCACAAAAACATTTGGAAATGCAATTACATCCAGTTCTCATCAGGCACTAAGTGAAAGAAGCAAATCAGGCAAAGCCTGCAAGCCCACACAGAGCAAGGTCAGTGAATAATTTATGGACAGGATATTTCTACAGTGCTCCGCCATCTTTCTGGTTTTATTAAGGGGTGATAAAGAAGAACAAGGCCAGGAGGTATGTAGCCAGGTCTCTGCATGCTTCTGTGGCAGTAGCAATCATTCATGTCGCTTTAGCCAAGGATTAGAGATGCCTGAAGGGGAAATGGAGAGTCCCTCAAGGTAGGATTTTAATCATTATATCATAGTTAGCTTCTTCAAGGCAGCAAAAGTTAAGCTACTTAACTGTTGATTCCACTTGTGGCCACTGCTTTGACCCCACAACCACAAAGAACAAATCCTCATTCATCCTGTCAAATCAATTTAAAAAGTTGAACAGAGGATCGCCAATGGAATCAACAGCCAGACGGAGTCTGTACTGCTCCCAGGAAGGAAATTTCTAGACTATTTTGCTGCCATTAATGGGTCTGGCTATAATTCTTTTCACTTTCTGTCTGTCTGACTGTCTGTCCCTCCCTCTGTCTCTCTCTCTGTCTGTCTCTGTCTTTCTCTCTCTCTTTCTGAGGCTGTACGGATGAGAACTCAGTTGTGAGGAGACTAGTGCATTCCTTGATGGGACAATTCACAGAATGCCCTGAGGATATGTGTTGCAGATGCACCTGAATAGTAACAGGGCTAAAAGGGCTAAATATAGAATAGGTTGCTTGTATTTCCCTGATTATAGAAGATTAAGAGGCAACGTAATTGAAGTATTTGGTAATGATTTGGGATTAAACGACCATCTTCCTCTGGTGGTGTTGGAGGCCAAATTCAGAAAAAGAAGGCATAACTTTAAAATTACAGCTAGGCCATGTAGGAGCGATGTCAGGAGCATTTCTTTATACAAGGGTAGTGCAAAACTAGATTTGCTCCATTTAAAAAAAAGCTTGGTGTTAGTTGTAAAGTTCAGAAGTAAGATTAATAGAATTTTGAGAGGCAAATGTATTATGACGTGGAACAATGGTAGGTAGATGGAATTAAGATACTAATCAGCTATGATTTAATAGAACTACAGAACAGATTTAAGGTGCTGAATTGCCTCCTCAAGTCCTTTGTAAAAAGAAAATATTGTCTTGGCTGGAGTACAACTGATAATTGGTATTTAATTAACTTTTCTCACAAAAGGACAGATGGTCTCAGGAGTGTGATGTGAACACTGACTGGCCTGGTCATCTTTAATTGTAAATAATTTTTGGAACAGAGGTACCTTCAATATCATCTGCCTATTTTATATTTGACCAGCAAGCACTTGATATCCAGAGTAGATGGGAAAAATATGAAAATGATTTATTTCCCTGCACTAACATTTCTCATTTTGATGAGACATTCACAATATGAAAGAATTAGCATCCTATTGTGAAGCAGTGTTTTGCAGCAGGTCTGAGTCAGCCAGTAAAAAAGAACATACACACAATTTGAGCCAAGAGTACAGGCCAAAAAAATAAACAAATGTAAATTCTCTCCAATTAAATGGGTGGGAACCATCTTGAGAGTTGAGAAAGATTAAATCACCTCAATTTGCAATCTGACACAATAGGGGTATCCAAATTATGAAGTTATTTTAGAAGCTTGAAGAAAAAGAAGATTATTTATGACATTAATATATCATCCGTGAGTCTTATTTGGTTGATTTTATTCACATTTCAAATGTAAGTTCCTCTTCTCTCCCTCTTCTTCCTGCACTTTCTACGGTGATGCATGAACTAATATCATTCCCGCCTACATTCCGTCTGCCTTTTGTTTTCCACTTCCTCTCTACCCCTTGCTTCAGTCAACATGTAGATAAGTACTAGATTTATGTGGAAAAACGCCCTTGAATGTAAGCATGTTATGATCTAAAATACACGCCTGAAATGCTGGTATGTGCAGATGTAATAATAATATGTGCAGAGCCAAAGGAAAGAACGAGAGAGTGTAACTAATTAATGGCTGCAAAGCCCCGCTCACTAGTATCATTAACACTGGGGAAACAGCAAAATTGGGAGATCTGTACCAGAGACCTCAAGCAACAGTAAGTCATAGACATATTCACACAATCATCACTTTCAGCTAACGTCCCAGGTGCCCCACCACTATGTCTGGATATGCCTTATCTCACTGACAGGACATACCCACTACAGGTGATAGCAATATGGTATACAGTCAGGAGAGAGTGGCCTTGAGATTTCTCAATGTTAAATCTGGATCACACAAGTTGTCATGGCATCAAATCAAACAAGAGCAAGCAACTCTCCTGCTGATTACAACCTACCACCCTCTCTTGGCTGATGAATCAGTACTCCGTGTTGATTACTCTTGGAAGAAATATTGAGCTTAACAATGGTACTGAATGTACTCTGTATTAGTGTCCATCACCAGGTGCTTCAGTAGCTTCACTACTGACTGACCGGGCTGACTACTTCAGGTAAAAACTACCAGATTGGGCCTGCAGCATTGCTGATTAAGCCAATAGGAGGAAAAAGCCCATTTGACCTCATCCTCACCAATCTACCTATAACTGCTGTGTCTGTCCATGACAGTGTTTTTAGGATGAATTGCCACATACTACTGTGCAGAGAAGTCCTGTATTTTGTACAAGACCTTGGCTGTGAAAGAGCTAATGTTGAAATTGCATTAGCCGCATCCAACCTGATGATGTCGTTAAATGGAGAAATAGTTAGCCTTGCATGAGGTCCCAAAGGAGACAGATGTGACATACTTGGTTTTTGATAGTTGTAATTATGCCTAAAACATTATTGTTAATTGTACCTATTTGTAACATCCAATAAACTGTATCTTCTTATGTAGAATTCTCATCATGCTCTTACATAATGGTCTCTTATTAAGAATCTATAGTGGCCTACTATGTTCATTAGACAGGTCCTTAGACTCAGCCTAGAAAAGAAAATTTGTGGCAGCAAACACCCCAATAACAAGGCACCAGTTTGATTTGATTTGATTTATTATTGTCACATCTTCCCAGATATAGTGAAAAGTTTTGTTTTGCGTGCAGTACGGGCAGATAATACCGTACAAAGTGAATAGAGTAATAGAACAGAGTGAAGGATACAGTGTTACAGCTGCAGAGAAGGCGCACAGAGGACAAGATCAACATTAATCTTAAAATTTGAGAGGTCCATTCAGAAGTCTAACAACAGCGGGGAAGAAGCTGCTCTTGAATCTATTCATATGTGTGTGCAAACTGTTATATCTTTGGCCCAACGAAAAAGGGTGGAAGAGAGTATAACCCAGTGCAAGGGATCTTTGATTATTTTAGTTGGTTTCCTGAGGCAGTAGGAGGAATTGATGGAGTCAGTAGATGGAAGGCTGATTTGCGTAATGGACTGGGCTGTGTTCACAACTCTCTGTAGTTTCTTGTGGTCTTGGGAAGAGCAGTTGCCAAACCATGCTGTGATGCATCCAGATAGAATGTTTTCTATGGTGCATTTATAAAAATTGGTAAGAGTCCTTGTTGTCATGCCGAATTTCCTTAACCTCATGAGGAAGTAGAGACATTGTTGTGCTTTCTTGACCATTGCGTCGACATGAATAGACCAGGATTATTGGTGATCATCACTCCCAGGAACTT